TAAGGCCATCTTTTTGATATTCATTTACTATTAGTTTTTACTTGTGAATTAAATGAAAATCACTTACCAGAATGGTTGCTGTATCTTAGTCCATTGCACTAGTGACCATAATTTATGTACCTCAAAAATTGTGAGGGGTGTTGCTGAAGGGGTGGTACACTGTGTAATTGCTTGGCAAGCAGCTCCGAAAAACCCCAGGCCTAACTGTAGGCGACATTATGCACAACAAAAAGACAGCACCATCATTGAAATGTTGCTGAGAAAGTGCATCTGTATCACAGTACTATCTGAGCCTTTGAAAATGGTATAATATTCCTTGTAGGTGCACATTCGCATTGCTTCTCCCCCCCTCAAGTATCCATGCTACATGGGAGTCAACATTCCCACCAAAGATGAATTGATTGCTAACAAACACAATGCTGAAGAGCTTGCTCTACAAGTTGGAGCTGACAGCTTGCAGTATCTGAGTGTCGAGGGTCTTAAAAAAGCAATTCAGTCAGGAATTCAACTTCAGAAAGAAAGAAAAATTGGTCATTGTACAGCGTGCTTGACTGGAGACTATCCAGTGGAATTAGAGTGGTAATAAACCCTAATGCTAAAATAGAAAATTCTTCATAGGAATGATAAACTGGGCAATTTGTAGCTTGTTTATGTAATTAAACTTGATAACTCTGTGAAAATTTAATAATAAGAACTACTATAAGACAGTTTGCAGCATTTTCTATTATTTAGTAGTAAATAATGGAAAAGCAGTAGAATTAGTGGGTCATTATGTACTATTTCATAGCTTTATTTTGTACTGTAGTCACAGTGTCTGCATTCTATTCGAAGAGACAGTGTCAAATGCTAATTATGCTAATCAATTTTGACTAAAATTTGCTTATAATGCTGTGCTTAAAGCTGTTATTGTCAGTATTATTTAAATGTTAGATTATTTATTAATGATAGATGATAGAATTGTTTTGATATTTAGAAAATGAATGTCATTACATTGGAACCTGAATGGAAATCACAGTAAAGACACCTGTAGCAAATCTATAAATTGTTCTTTTAACCATCAGCTGGTCATANTAATGACATCAAATGCGATTGGGGGGGGAGGGGTACTCCCATATATTTGCTATACGGGGACGTGCCGCTGGCCAGTGTATGGTTTTTGGCCTTGCTGTCTTAAACAGGGTATACATTTCACCCGAAATTGTCTTAAACAGGCTCTACAATTTCGATAAAAGATCGAGATATTTTTTTGGTGTGTCTTGGACAGGGTAATATTTTCATAAGAAATACCGTTTCACTATACCAGTATTAACGTATTAAAAACTTCTTATTGTCTTTGATGGATGTCAGTATAATTTCAGTTTTGATGGTTGCGGCGTAGATAGCGATTCCTTATTTTTCCGATTTGTCTTGAACAAGGTATGGATTTTTACTTTTACAGGGTCAGGGTTTTAGACCGCTGGCGGCATTTACCTATCCAAAACGAGATTGCCATGTTTCCGCGTAGCCAAAGTATAGTTTAGTAACTATGGCCACAAGTCCCCCAAAATAACAAAGTGAGAAATAGAGGTCAAATAATTCGAAATAAAGTAGTTCCCAATTCTGAAAGAATCATCTATTGCAAACGTTGATCTAGGGAGAGTAAACTCATTTTTTTAATGATTATAATGTAACGCTTCATCGATCAGTTAACCTTCACCAGAGCCGTAGCTAGTAAGAGGCCAACCGAGGCACTCGCCTCGGTAAAATTTTGCCGATGCTTTTTGTTCTTCATCACTAATATRYTCTTAYCRTCTCAGAGCCGATTTCGCACGACTGATTTTGTGCAAAAATTCTAAAAATAATGTTATTTTTGTACGTAATTATATAGCCACATATTAATCCCAAATAGGTAAAAGCTGGATTTTTCGTTAATTTTGGAATCCTGTCCAATTAAGAAATTAATTGGACAGGTTTTCAATTGGGTTTTTGTTAAAAGCTGTGGTTGGCTTATACCTATTTGGGATCAATATGTGGCTATATAATTAATAGGTAATAAGACTCCATGCTGTCCAATTAAGAAATAATTAGACTCGAAAAATTCCTCTGACTGCCAAATTGGACTCGGCCACGGCCTCGTCCAATTTTTGGCAGTCCTCGGAATTTTCCTCGTCCAATTATTTCTTAATTGGACAGCATGGAGTCCTATTACATATAA